GGCTTCAAATTCGCTGTTCCACTGATAAGATAATTTCAAGCAGGTAACTTATTCGGATTTTTGAAAGCTACATTCCTGGGAACTGGACTCTTACCGGCAGGGGGGTTAGCAGGAGGAAACTAATTTTTTGGTTTTTTTGCCTATTCCTACGGATTGAAAATAAATAGTGTATTTAGTAGTTTTTGATTGCTAGAAAGTCACACAAAAATATTTTAAACACTTCCTAAATTCGAAAAATTTGGCGTGTTATTCAGCTTTCCTAAATTCATGACCAACAGCCAAAAATGTCGAAAATTTCATATTTTTTATGAGCGTTTTACATCTAAAAACTGTGTAGTTTGCTAAAAAAATGGTCTATGTTTTGTAATAGGACCGTACAGCATTACTAGGAAAAATTAGTTTTCCGCCTGCTAACAGTCCTGTACAAATAATAATTGTCAGATAATTTGTCGGCATTATTGGAATATTGAGATATTTTTGGCGTACTGGGGTGTTTATTAACAGCCTATGGTTTTCTCTATCTTTATCATTTATCAACATCCCCAAAGGTAAATATTATAAGAGAACTATCCCTCTACGTGCGTTCTAGACTCGTTCGTTACACCGTTTCCCTACAACCCGGTTCCTTTTCTCTACACCATGTAAGCGGCTTTCTAAAAAAAAGCTCTATTTTTTACTAAGCACCTCCCACGGCACTTCCCCCACTCAAAAGCTAAGCGTCTGACATTTGACCACTTCCCAAAAAGCTGCTAAGTTCACAAGAAATCTTCATTACCATATTGCGAAACCCACGGGCTTACCGCAAAAATTGCATTAAACCCTCCCGGTCATCATTAAATACGTGCAGGTCCATAAAAACCATTTCCGTCTTAGTTTTTCAATTGTTTATGTTCGCCCACTCCCACTGGAACCGTTCCCTCCGTTATAGTCAAGTCACCATTAATTAATATGCGAACGGGAGGGAGGGGAGGGGTTCGCCTGTTTTTCCGCACTTTTTCAGGGGCTTTATAGCTGACTACTTCCAAAGCACTTTGCGACACGTTTCCGGAATCCGGTTGAAATTTTGGGGGGATTAGCGGGTTCGTACTTGGGAGGTGGAGGTAAAAAAAAATTGAGGGGTGCATTGCGTATAGTATTTGGGAGCTTCCGTTGAGGCGATTAGCTTTTTTGAATGGGATTTGAGATCAGAAAAACCAGCATTATGCGGAAGCGAAATTGAAGGGAGTGGTAAACGAGGTATTGCGTTTGGACCTTGGGTTTGCTTTGGTGATAAAACTACTAGAGCCTGGACAAATTTTGGGTATCCCAATTGCTTAGTAGTTATTACTCTTTTTTATTTTACTGCATGCATAAATGCAAAATTTATGGAAAATTTTATTTAGTTGATTGACCTTGATTCAAAATTTTATTATTTTTATATAAAGCTGACAAGTGTGGATGTAAATGAAATTCCATTAAAAACATTGAAAGGTATGGAAAGAGCCGATTTAGTGCTTGGAAAAATGTCTGAATGATGCGGAAGCGATCGAGACCGAAATTTTTATCCCTCAAAAATTTATTTCTAGAATTCCAGTCTAGTTTTAACTTTGCAACAAATCCTCGGATGATTTTTGCACCAAGCAAAAATAGAAGAAATTCATTTCTAATTCACTACAGATTTTCCCCAATCCTTGCGCGATTATTCGTTGATTGCCTGTGCCATCCAGTGCCGGCCATCTCCCAAATCACATCCCTCAATATTTCAGACAACATGCAGACAAAAAGCAATACGCAAATGGCCCACACCTCGCACACAAACACACATACAACCGTCATTGCCCCCCTCGGAAAGTCGGCACACATCCATATAATCTTTAAAGATGAGCAGCAATACTCAGCATACACCTCGGAACATTCCATCTCTCGAGTTTTGTCGGCACGAGCACTCTTTTTAACATGTGCCGGGAATCGCCCACCATTGTCGAGGGCGGATTGTCAGCGTGCATGCTGGATTTTTGCGAATTATGCGCGTCAATTGGAATGAAATGGAAATAGTGGGGGTCTCTTGCTCTTGAAGTCGACGGGGATAAGCGGATGGTGAAGTCATCTTGGGGTTGGGTGAACTTGTGTTGCGTTGGCGTTGGTTGGAATCGGATGCCCTGAAGATCGGTAGCTTTTAAAGGGTTTGTGAAGTGGAGAAACTACGCCTATAGACGCAGAAGGTTGCAAGTAAAACTACGTCGAGGTGCTACATTTTTAGTTTCGTTTTTGGTGTCCATTAATTAGTCTAAAAAATTATGTTTCTAGGTTTTTTGGGGCTTGGATGGCAGCATGGAATTTTTGGTTCGGTCGAATGTTATAAAAGCAATTTTTTAAATAATTTCTTTTTCGGAAAAAATAGCAATTTGTTTTTGTCAAATATATTCCAACACTTGGAAGTTAGAATTTCGTTTCTTGGTTCCTCACCCTTTCCATTAAACCACTTCCCATCCAATGCTCCATCGTGCGTACGATTGGAACATTGACATATCCTATTTTCAAGGGCTTAAATCGTCCACCCCCAAAAACCATTAGTTTTTCTGCTCGTTGCGCCCTCGAAAATCCGGTCACACCAGGTGAGGAGGCCATTTTAGCCCCGAAACCAATCTCCTAATATCTGACTGTTCTGACCCGAATTACCGCCCGCCCGGGCCTCCCCCCAAAACATCTCAATCTGCGGGGCTTCTTCTCATTGAAACTGAGCCAACATCTCAAACCTTGAAGAGCAGAAGACCCATGAGACTTCTAGATCGGGATCCATGGCCGGGGAGCTCAAAACAAGCACCTATTTTTAGAATAGCATAAAAGCTAATTTTTTCAAATGGTCCCCAAGATTCCACACCTCCCCATTCTGAAGCCGAAAAAGAACACCACGACGTTAAGGTCAGAGTGACTTGCAAAGCCCAAGAAAGGGACCACTCCCAAATTGCCGGAAATCCGTCACGGCGTGGCCAGAGTTCTCCTCCATTTAGGGAGCCACTTCCAAATTTGGGGCCTCGTTTTTATTAGAATTCACACCTCACAATGGCTGAATGTGGCCGTCACAAAATACAACCCGTCGTCTATAGTAAAAGGTGGCATTGAGCCGACGTATTTTGTATTTGAGGACTGCGCAGATCTGCTTGGGCTTTCGCCACTTTCCAGGTCCAATTCAGTTGCATTTCCGGTAGTTGGTTGGAAATAAATTGACGGGTGGGGGGGGGGGGGAGTCGTGGGGTTTCGACAACCCTAAAAATAGATGTTGCTAAAAATGGGTTTTACTGCTCGGAATAGAGGAAGCGGGTAATTTTGTTAGCGAATCTGCGGCGGCTGGGTGGAGAGAGAGAGAGAGAGAGAGAGAGAGAGAGAGAGAAAGAGTAACGGTTGGTCAACTTGCTCAAAAAGGGTTGAAACAAGCAATAAAATTCAGCATTAATGTTGCCAGAATTGCTCCTTTTAACCCTTTTACATTATTTTAATTAAAACCTGTTTATAATTTTTAAGAAGCTGAGCCTTCACTGACCGTGGGAACCAAAGTTTCACGTCCAGCCCCCCCTCTTTCTGTCCTTCTAATCAAATTTCTTTCAACCATTACCCCTCCCCACCCCACGTGCCATCCAGCTTCCATTTCCGGTCCAAAGACTGAGCAGCAGACCCGCAGATCCGGTGACGACGACGTCCCCCTAATTTTTTTCGGTTTCGTCTCTCTTTCTTTCTTGTCACAGGGCTGGGGTGGCGCCCACATTCTAAATCGGGGCGGTACAGCGTGCGATCGTCGATGAGTTTGTGGATTTTTCTGAATATGCTGATGTGGAGGATTATCAGATGGAGACGTATTTTGTGGCGCACCTGATTATACCAAGAGTTCCGGGTTCTATTTTGCGGCATATTGGTTTTAAGGGCAGCGTGCCAGATCAAAATAACTGACAGTAACTGAGGGCTAATTTCGGATTTTTTTAGCTTTGCTAATTTACGGGGGTGGTATATTTTAAACGTAACGTACCATTTGAGAATAACCTCCAATAACTGAAGCTCAATCCTCGTTTTTACAAAATTTCAAATTACGTTATGACAGATTTTAAGGGAAACGCGCGGAATCAGAATAACTTACAGTAACCCAGATCTCAGTCTCAGACTTAGCTTTTTCCCCCTGCTCATCTGGATTAGCCAGCTGATTCCATTTCTTCATTTTTGCCTAAGCCCCGTGTCCAAAAAATTTGTCTGGCTTTTACCCTTGGAACCGCTAGGATCGACCAATAAGGGCACGACTCCCCCAAAAACTATTACGCGGTCTGCGGCACGTCATTTTTACCTCATTTCCAAATTTGGAGCCCGAGACACTCACCCAGACGCTCCCGTTCTCCTCTTCCAATGCCAAGTTGTAAGAAAGAAATGCTCGTAAATTTATTATTAATCCGGGATACATTCATCGTGCGACGGGCCGGGAAAGGATAGCCGAAACTTGGCTTCAATCCTGAATTCACAAAGAGATTATTGTCAAAATATGATTTCAAGTTAACAATAAGATTGAAGGGTACTTATCTATACTTCTACCCTGCCAGAGCAAACTATCACAACAACAAATAGCAAAAATAAAACTAAAAGAAAGAAGAATAGTTTCAATAAGTCCCTCTGAAATTGCTCGAGTCGATTTGATATAAATGGCGCTCGACCTGACGACGCCGAGGGCTAGTTTTGATGTTTGAAAATGGGCTATCCTAGGTAATAAATAAATATAATAATACTTTTAACTTGTTCTGCTACACTCTTAGCATATGACCAGTCTATAATGTGCAAGAATGGGGGGAAGAGCTTAGGCTTAGGGGCCACCGAGTCTGAGCGAGAAATACCTAACAATATCTTTGGACCCGACCGGGGGAAGGATGGAAGAGTACTTGGAATTCAAAATTTAGACATTTCAAAATTGGGAACAAAAAAGAATAAGACACTGAGCAAACCAAGTCACAAAACAGCGACAAACGACACATTATATGAAAGAATTATGCTTGTTCAGGCACAATATATAGCGGGTAGAAGGCGGATTGATGTAGCAGATAATTGAGGGAGGGGTGTGAGGGGTCACCAATGCGTAGAATCACTGGCTTTTTCTCGTCGACCGGGGACGAGGCGCGAGTGCCGTTTTCAAGCACTTCGAACCGGCATCGGAACACCCAGGAGATGAGGTGGACGAGACCCTGAAAAACGTGAATCAGTAAATCCTGGCCTTGTCCAGAAACTCTGAGAGTCTTGACTTTGCATAATCGCCAGAACCCCGACAATACAAGTTTCTTAAGAAAGACCGTGACCGAGCACTTTCACAAAAAATAAAATTTAATTTCGCAAATACCTGCCTTTGTAAAATCTCGAGACCATTGCGCATCTAATGACATATCAAACACACCCTCAGTTACATGCAAAGTGACAACTTTTTCCTATCCACTAAGCAAGTGTCATACAGAACTGACGTTTTAAACAGCAAAGTTCCAAACCCTTTCGCCCCCATCGAGAGGTCGAAAAGTCTGCTAGCCCCCGGATAATCGCTATTTTCATGGCGTAACCGACCGGGGTTTAGTTTCGTTCAGAAAAATCAGTGGAGTGGTCTAGGTCGTCCACTAACACCCAAGTGGTCCTTGCCATTTTTGGTCAACCTGGTCGTTCTGGATGTTTCGGATAAGGTACAGTAATCCAGCGAACACTCGAGAAATGTTCCAACCTTTAAATGGTTGATGCCAGCAAGTCGAGAAACTTCCAAAACACGTTTCTAGCATGCCAACACCACATGGTTCCCCTTTTCCAGCAGCCATGTTTCCAAGAAAACCCACTTACTATTTTCCGAAAAATTGTAGAGCAAGTTGTAGGGTTGTAGGAACTCGTGGTCGAAGAGATGGGGATTAACCCAGAGGTGAAGGTCAAAATAAACCCGAAAAATAGGGTTTTTGAAGGCCCGGGCAGAGAAACCTAATAAGACGACTTTTCGTTGAGCTGTGCCCGCGGCGGGTTTCCCTTCAATAAATTGGGGGATACCTTAATTGGCTTCACTCATTCTTTTACAACTCTAGTGAGTGGCAAACACATGGCCGGCCGGGTTGTAGGGAATCGTCTCTCCGAATCTCCGAAGCACTGGGGTTAATTGAAATTTTATCCGAAAACATTTAAAATTTCGGGGTTTCGCCTTTTGCTAGAGGCCAAAGGACTGATAGGGAAGTCTAGCAAAGGTCAGCCATTGTTTCAAACATCGAAAAGGTGGTATGCTGAAAAACAACCACGTTTTATGTTCAATTTTGTGTTTGCACCTAAACGAAGAGTTTTTGATGAAAACCTGAATATCTGAAAGCGTGGAATCTTTTTTTACATTCCCCGTCACCCCATCATCAAGGCCAAAACAATAAATACATTCATGGATGTAAAGTTGTTTTTGGCGCTCCTTGCTCATTTGGATAAGGTGCAACGAACTGCCTCCTTCGCAGTTACTCATTCCCTCACAACTCGGTCAAATGATTCCAGTGGCCTTCCATATCCACGAGAACGTCAGTGGGGTATCGTTTGTGGATGAGAATTTGGCTAATCTCCCTACTTTTCGAGGGCCAATGCCGGTTTAATGGCCTGCCCTCGGGGCATACTCACAAAGTAATACGTTAATATCTCATCGTGGCCACACATCGGCCAACTCGAAGATCCTACCCCAAGAAGACCATTTGGATCTTTTTGTTGGTCTAGAGGATCAAGAAGATCCGACCGGATGTTCTGACCCGAAAGTATAAAGAAACCGGAATCAACCCCGGTACACCAGACATTTGCTATTGACACCGGAAATAGGGGATTTATTAACCGGGTCGACTTAGAAATCTTGGCAAGCGATCTAGAGCAGAATCGTAGGAGGAAACGCGCTTTTAAAACCCCGGCGGTCCCCTATTGGCTTGTCGATTTTCGTTTAGAGTTGCCAAATATCCGGTAGTCCACCGCTTTGCCTTTGCAAAAGCATGGAAGGACTCTGAGCCTTTCCTTGATTTTCCGCCCTGCTTGGTGTGGCCCCTGAAATCGCCATTTCGTAGATTCCCGAAGCGTATCCCGCGGCGGGGGTTTTTCCGTGTCTCCCGGAACCATAGACCTTTTTTGGTTAGGTTCTGGAAGGTTCGCTGGGTTCAAGATTCGCTGCACATTGTTCCCAGCGATGATTATAGAACTTTCTAGAATTCTAAAAATGGCGTCCTTGGCAGCAATCAAGGGAATGGGCATGTGGGGCCGATTCTTAGCGATTGACAGACGTAATTTTGCAATTCTAGATGTCGGGGAGATTATGGATTGGCGGGGTGTTTAGTGTGTGGTTGGGTCCAAAAATGGCATATTGTGACGATGAGAATGTTCTTATTGCGTCTCTAGTGGCTAAATTGTAAGCGAGGATTGGAGAGTTGTCTAGATGGCTAGTGGATCGAGAATCGTACTTTGTTTTATTTGAATTTGAATTCTGACGGATTTTCCTAGCGTGTCTGGTGGAAATAAGAAGGCGTAAAGAAGAAAGAAAATAAAAATACTTGATTCTCAGGGCTGTAATGGCTAATAGATTCAAAATCAATCTAGAAATCTCTTGACTCCAAATTTCCGAAAACCATAGTCGAAACATCATGTTAATTTATGTCCGAGGCAACAGGCCCCCATCCATCAGCTTTTACGCACAAATTATCCTACCCTCTCCGAGTGATATCACGGATAGGCGCGCGCGGAATGCAAAATTCTCCCGGAATGTGCCGCGCTACACCCGTCATCCCTTTTCGCGGGCGGATAAATTTGGTTGCCACCCGTTCAAAAATAGACTAATCATGACAATTCCAAACACCGCAACCCATTTGCGCACATAGAGCTAAGACCGGGATAAACACCAGCTTTTGCCAGAGAATAAGAGTGGGAGGAGAGGGATCATAGTAGTGCCCACCCTGGAAAAAGGAGGGTCTGATCCATTTCATTCACTCAAAACTCTTGACAGACTACACCGTCCACCCTCACTTCACAAAATTGGAATGCAACAGCTATTTAGAAAAATTGGATTTTTTGCGCGGGTTGACCGAAGCAGGTCTAAGCCGGTTTTTGGCGAAGTAATACAGATCCGGTATTCTTTGGAAATCCTGAACTTGATTGCATGGAAATAGAAAACAATCAAAAGGCCCACGCTTTTGTGGAGTTTTCGGAGGCGGTTGAACGGGCACTTTCAAATTGCTTTTTCGATTTTCATCACTTTTTCTAAAAAGCCGTAGATGCTCATCCGAGATTCTAGCTACTGTTCCCGCCGGGCTTGCATATTCCAGTCCCTATCAAAATGACATCTAAAAATAATTTTTTTAGTTTCACACCTCCCCCACGCGGCGGCAGGGGGAGGGGGCTACGGGGCGAAATGGCAAGGCGCATAATTCATAAACTTAGACCTTTCACGGCTTGTTTGGTTGAAAGACTATTTCAGCGAATGATTAAATCAGATCACGAGCTATGAGTCTCCAACCCTTAAAAATTTACGCGCGGCTCTACCGTAACCCCGCAAGTTGCAAAAAGATTTGATCGAAAAGGGTGTGACAGTGAAAAACAGTCTTTTTGCTGTGTTAATCCTTGCGGGAGACCGGGTGAAGAACTCCGGTCGGCGGCCGGATTTGTTTCAACCATTCCTCTCTAACGACTGACCGAATATTTTGTTGATGCGCGCTTGGATTGACCTCGATGGTCAGCTGGTTCTGGGGCTGGAGGACAAGTCGAAAACAACGAGCGAGAACTGCTTGTGGCAATCCCCCTCTTTTCGGCTAGGCTAAACGTAGAATTGACCTGCTATCGAGACGCCTCGTCATGTTGCTCGAGTCCACCCTACCCCGCGAGTGCGGACTTGAAAAACATGATATTCCCGTTGAAGAACGTCAGAAAAAGGTCGATTTGATGAGGACTTACGACAAAAAAGGGATGAGAAGTGAGTACCCTGGATCTAAAAACAAAATGTTGCCCGGTAGTCTCCGGGTATAGGTGGGTATACGGTAGGTGTGAAACACTCAAGCAGTCGTATTTAAGTGATATCGGAGTTTTGTGATTCGCTAGAGGTTAAAACTCTGAACAGGCTAGATGTTTCAAAGCTGCTGAACTATCAGGATCCCGAGAAAAAGTTCTCAAATTTCTTTAGCTCGTCAAAGATCAAAAATGGGCTAGACAGGCCCTTCCAAAGTGAATTTGCTCAACGCCCGGAACAGTTGGGTATTTATTTGAAATATAGTCCGAGCTTTTTGATATCGCAACACCACACCATCTAACCACCCCCCCCCGCCATTTTCAGTTTCAATCCAGACCTAATTTTCGATCCCAACAACCAAAAACTAAAAACTTTCACGCACGATACTACACCACACCACCCGCCAAAAAGTCTACTCTACACCATAATCCCCCAAAATCCCCGACCAATCTAAGCCCAGCCGGAGTTGTGTCTATCGCGAAGATCCTTTCACCGTGTCCTCAGCACCCCAAAAAACTAGGCCGACACCCTTGTGGCCTAATTTTGCCGACGGCCCGAAAAAATTAGCATATCAGCTGGCGGCGATCGCTCGTTCGTTGCCTTAGGGCACATGTAGACCCTTATCTTTCCCTTTTTATTGCACCCCTCTTTGGCGGGTCCGTGGGAATGAGGATGTTCTCACAAAGTCTACTACACAAAAAAACATCCTTTAACATTTTCTTTCTAAATTTCAGGTCTGTTGATCCGAAATTTTGGGTAATGGGCAAGGGGTTGCCCGTAAGGTTGTGAACTTTTCAACGTAAAGATCTAAAATCATGCCTCTTGGGCGAGGACGAGGCAAGAGAGGGGAGTCTAATTTTGGGTGGATTAATTATTTAGGAGAACGAATGGGGGAGACCCCCAGGAGGTGCTTTCCTAATAAAATTTTGGGTTTTTATCGAGGCACGAGCCTTGGGGTCACGATCATGTTTTAGGTTCCTGGGAAAAAGAGTCAAAGTGTACCTGATCAAAACGGTGGCTCCAAAGCCTGTCGACCGATTCGCCGGGGTGTTCAGCCGGCCACCACGATACATCCGGACCGTCTGACTCCCAGAGTTCGATGGAGTGGAGGAGTAGTATCAGGCGAAGACTTTCTACATTCTCTTCCACTGAAGTTGATGGTGTTGAAGTATCGGAGACCTGAAAAAGATGGGATGGGCCAATTTATGAGTAATGAAGTCTTCCATTTTCCTTCTATCATTCCAATTTTCAAAAAAAAACTAACAAATTTGCAAAATTGCTCGAGTCGCTGGCCGGCATCTGAGAAGCGCTGCAGGACGTTGTAGCGCTGGAGAGCCGTGGCGAGAAGCTGGAAAAGGACATATTCGGGGGATCCGACTTCTTTCTTAGAACGGCTGCGCCTTTCCAAGCCAGCGACCACCAACACTGCTTCCCGTCCAGCCAACCACTCCAAAATTCAATTTTCCCCTCACGACCATTTTCGTGCAATTTTTTTGGGAGTTTCTTTCGGTGGACGTCCATTATGCAAATTTTGATCGAGGTCAAGGGTCCGGTGGATTGGGGGAGGAAATGGCGGGGGATGCCCGCAGAAATCCACGGTATCCGTGGAATCTTCAAGTAAATTTTTATTGGGTCAGACAGATATTGATATCGTTCTCGATTGTCTATCGGAGACTCGAAAAGCAGTGTTCGGATTTTTATAATATCTGTTTTTTAGAATATCGATTTTAGCAAGGTTAGGCCCCGTTAAAAAGGCTTGCGTTAAAGACGAGATTGATTTCGAGATCTGAGATTCGATTTTCTGATCCTCGGGATTCTAAATGATACTCCCCTAGAGACCATGAATCTTATTTTCAACGTCTACCATCTCGGCTTCAATTCTAGCTGAGTAACGACTTATATTTTTTAACGGCAAGCCCCCGTCACTCGTAGCGTATTGTAGTTGGTATCGACCATAACAGCGGCGGGTTCTTCGACCTTTTTGTTGATTCTAGCCCAAGAAGAAAAACAGCCATTTTTTGAGGAGCTACAGTGGTAGTTGATTGATGTAGTGCTAGGGCGTACCGGCCTTACGGGACACTAAAGCCATTTCCTATTTGTGCCAAACTCCCCCTCCAACGCGCCTACACCCTGAATGACATCAAGCTCCCACTCACTGGCTCTTTCAAGTATTTGGGAGAGTTTAGAAGGCATTGAATCGTGTCTCAAATCGCCACCCAGCCAAGACAGGAAATGAAGAGGGCATTGGAGCGAAGGGCAGGGGTTGTTTCGGGACCACCCAGGCCACCCCATGCTCATTGGCTGGATGTCGTCGAAATGTTGCCTTTCTGATGATGCTTCTGGTTGGGTGAAAAACCAGAATGAATGAGTCAAAAAAATGTGCTGAAAGAAGTGGTCCCGGAACTTCTAACGTAATTTACTAAGATGTATGAGTAATACTAGGGTTGTTTGAACTGAACTTGAACCTTGCTGGAAATAAACTAAATAAACTAACGCAGAAATAGATACCCTTAAAGTCACCTTCTTGAAAGGACCCGATTGGATGCGCCTAAAGTATCTTTATAAAGGAGGCGATGATCTAGAGGCTACGACTGAAATTGTAGGGTTTAGTATCTTAACTAATTACACCAATCCATTTGCGTGATTGTTTCAAAACAATCGCGAGCCTGTATGCCGCCCCGGCCTCCCGAAACGGTTCAAGCCGAGAGTTACAAAATATCTTGCGGTTTGAGAATGGGGAGCTATCTGCGAGTTAATCTCGGTGGCAGACTTTCTTTCCAATCTGATACATCAGAGTCATAAGCCCAAGTTAGCTTCAGTATCCACATTATAGACCTACATCGAAGACTTCCCCGCTTGACCACTCATTCACCACCCCTTTAAACTTCCATTAAAACTCTTTCTCTCTCTTTCTCTGTCTCTCTCGCTTTGCCCCTCCCCCAAATCCGACCAAGACGAAGGGAGGGGCTCCCCCCAGGGGCATGGTGGCCGCGCACCGCCCCCCGGGCCCCGCCCACATCGGCGACTTCTTATAGCGTCCGGCAAGGCATAGAATTCGACTTACAGAGTTCCATCTCTTCTTCCACTACTTGAGCACCAAACCTCCCTTACTACACGCCTTTATCTCGCCACTCGGTCTTAACCTACCGCAGAACTTCATCTACCTTTACTAAAAAAATGATCGCCTGGCCGAGCCTTGTCAACACGCTCCTTTTCTCCGCCATCTGCTCGGCGACATACGCCTTGACGTGCTACAGCACCGACGAGGAGGTTTGTTTGCTTTCCGTTATTACTTGAATCCGGTTACAATATCTAAAGCTGTTGGTTTTGCAATCCCCTGACTTCATATAATCTCTCTATTCTAGGGCTATCCAATTGCCGTGACCAACTCCTCGTGGAAGCTTTGCGGTCTGATCCCGGCCAATGGTGATCGACCGGCTTCAATGTTCGGGCTTGACCCCTCCATCGAAGATATGGAGCAGTATCTACCTTTCTTCGCTCCGGCTGACGATGCGGCCTCGGCCAGCTACTCCACGCTCAGCGTATGCGTGTTCGAGGTAATTTTTACATCCAGATCTAGTTACGGATTTTTTCAATAATCCTACTTCCAAAATTACCGCTTTCTTTTCAGCGCTACGTAATGCGGTACCGTCATATGCAATCAGCCGAGCATATCTTCCGGTGTCTGTGCAACTATGACAACTGCAACCAGCACGCCACCTTCGGCGCGTACCTCAAGGGGCTCAAGTCTGACAACCCTTAAATGGTTCCTGACTACCACATCCTTCCACTCCCATTATCTCCTTTAGTGATTAGCCCTAGGAAAGCCGATAGGAATTTTCCCACCCCACCCACCAGTTCAACTTGCCACATATCCCGCACGAAATTCTCGTACAACCTTGCCCTACCCTCTCCCTCATCCCGAGTGGATTTTCTCACACGATTTGCTTCTATGGGTGCCTAGGAAAGCCAACTCTTTCACTGGCGACAAAAACTTTACAACCGACCAACTAAATCCCAGTGTTCCGCGTCGAATTCTAGTAATTAGCCATTGAAAAACCCGGACCATGTTTGACTGGTGCTCCCCCTCTTCCTTCACCGCATAATTCACCGCTCTGAGGGCGCGGCTCCGGGCTTTATCCCAATTCACCAGCCCTCTCTGCGCAAAAACCGTTTCATATCTTCAACCATGGAAAAACGAGAGAGCTGTTTAATTTGTTCATATTTCTCCCCGATTCGTTCAATTCGAGCTTCCTAACTCCAATTCGGGTACCATAGGCCTTGTGTGCACCATCCCCCCCCCCCCCCCATTTTCTACGATATATCGTATGTGTTTGATGAGCTTTTTACCCGTCACAAAGCGTTGACCGCCCCCCCCCCCCCCCCAATTTGCATAATGTTCTCCGATGTTCTCAACCATCCTACAATATCCCTCCCCAAAACAAACGATCTCCATAATGCATAATCTGATTTGTTTTACTTGTTCCCTGTTCGTTTTCGATTGTATGTATGTATATTTTCGGTGAAGACAGTGATATAAATTCTGCGATCGTATATCTCGTTTTCGTCTTTACAAAGCAAACCCACAACCAACAGAATACACTGGGCATAAAAACGCATTTTCCTACGCGGCAGGTGCTGACCTTCTTCTTTGATTGGATCGCAAATTTGTAATGAGCGTCCAAGAATATGCCGATCATTAGGACCAAAGACGGGAATACGGTAGGGGAAAGCTTTGGAAAATATATTGACTTTTTCGTTCCTCTGTTTATATTTTTTCTCTGAGTTTTCGAGATGGCATTGACATACCAAGACTTTACTTAACTCCGAAAAGGATTGAAAAAGGCTTTTACAAAGCTTTTGCTAAAAAATTTCCTGTCTGTTTTTTAGCGACCCAGAACCTTCAAAAACCGCGGCGCTATTACAAAAAGCGGAACTTCTTCCTGGCAGCCCCTTGATGGGTGACCGATAAACAAAAGCTCAAGCCGTTTTCGCGTGCCGCCACTGGCCTTGCATTTTTTTCGGCGGGGCCTATACGATACTAGTTACTGGTGGTGCCATCGGGCCCGTGACGGATTGTTTTTGATGTGCTCCACTTGATTTGTGTGCTTTTGCCGGTTGGTTTAGGTTGATTTTATTACAATCGTGTACAGAATGTAATGGTGGAGGGGTGAAATCAGAACTAACGCTATTGAAGATTTTTAGGGATTAAGAGGGTTTGCCTAATAAAACTGATTTACGTAAACGATCGAAAACCGGATTTTAAATCATTTTTTCAAAAGTCAGGTTCACGAAAAACCCGTTCCCGAAAATAAATTTTCGTAATTTTTAAAAATTTGCTCATATCAACGGACTGGGAAAGACTATTCAGGCAGGAAACAGCAATGCAAATTTTTCTTCTTATTTTCGGGAAACTGATTTTAGAAAAATGACTGTTCGAAAAAGCGCTTTGCAAAAAATGTGATCGTCCACCTGGAAAACTAACATACGGTAGCTCTTTCACCAGAAGCTTCCCACCAGTTCTACGGTACAATCCGACCTAGCTTTCAGAATGCATCGCTAAAAATAAACCCTCAATTATTAGATTCCCATTATTATTACCGGTACCGCACGGCTTATCCGCATGGTTCGCCACCCTATCTCGGATTAGTGAAAATAACCCCCATAGAGAGATAGAGAGAGGACCATCTTTATCCCAACAGATACACAATTACCCAATTATTTGCCGTGTTCTGTTCTTGAAGAACGGGGACACGTGGTCAGCACTAAATTTAGCGAGGGCGTTGTGGAGGTGGGTATATTTACAAAAGAGTGCCTGTTGATTCCGCCCTTGCACTTTCCAGATTGTAGATTTTGGCTAATGAGGCGCATTTTCAAAACGCGCAAACGTAAGGAGCGGAAGGAATTGTTGGAAGAACTGATGTTCCTTTCGCTACGTCACACTGAGAAATCGGACAAGTTATTCCTAGTGTAAGAAACCGCAATAACACGATTGTGATAAAAATTGGAGTAAAAGAAATTTCCGTTTTATTAAAACCCAGAAAAACTTGAAAATCGAAGTTATACCTTGTTGAGCGAAACCGCCGTTAGCTTGTTGAGGGCTGGCAGGTTATGGTAGATGGATGAGGAGAGGAACGACGCCAAGAAGTCTTCCGTCGTCAGGCACTTCTCCCCAATTCGCCGCAGGTGCTGGCGGGTGTAGAGAGACTGGATTTTCTGGAATTATAAAAATATATAGATGAAGAACTCAAGAAAGCTTACCTTAAAAACCCTCGAATGAAGCTGTAGCTTTTCACATGCAAACACCATCGTATCACGGCTTTTCTGTGGTCGTCGAGACGTACGGATATCACGGGCGATCAGCTAAATTTAAAAGTATATAATTTCGTTCTTAATCTCTACAGTATCCATTCCAAGAAGCCATATTCCCCTCACGTCACTAAAGGATTGAACACCATGGCACTCTTGACCTCGAACACCCCAGTTTTTTGGAACACCCCGTGTACGCTTTACGCTGAAAATCACCGGTTTTCGCAAAAAAAATTGTTGGGCCTCCCCTCAGGATAATGGACATCGCCAAAAAACCCGCGCTTTTTATGAAATTACAGCCGTTCCATGGCAAGGTCACCATTTTTTGAGCGGATTTATACAGGAAAAACTGCCGGTTCCAGGCCGTTCTTCAGCATAATCCGGGGTAAGTCGCCAGCAAAAAAATTCAATTTTTGGAAAATCTTGGTGAAAAACACTGGGAAAGAGTTTTTCAACAAAGATTTTAATAAATTGAGGAAGTAAGGAAAGTGCTAGGAATAATCCCTACGAGCCTAGAGCCTAGGCGCCTAGCTTTTGGCAAAACATGCGTTCCGTTGAAAATATCCGTTCCCTTTTGTTGCTAATATTAAAAATATAATTTCCTATATAGAAATCTAGATTTTAAAGCTATCTCCCCAATTTTAACTGGACATTTTGTACAGTCTTGCGTAACATGGTGTGACTGGGCGACTTTCAAGCAAGGCCATCTCCCGAGCTCAGCTCTTCCCTCCGTTACCAGTTGCCCTAATTTGGGAGCCACATTTCCGCGTCCTCTCACAAAAACGTGTTCGGCTTCCGTTATCCGTCTTTGTGCTTCCGTCAGGGCTATCTTGTAATGCACAGAAAAAGGAAGGGGGTAAGGATAAGATCCCGATTTTTGACTTGTGCCGCAACTTTGGGGAAATCTATGTGGAAAGTTAAGGGATCGGATTTGGGGGTACATCAACGCCACGTAAACGGTCTGTTTTTGTTATAATTCGAGTAAAATTAATAATTAGAAATTTTTTTTGCGGGAATTCAGTTCTTTCGAAAAGCAGATGAGGATAGAAATTCTATTCATTCCCCCAGGGCGCGCATCTTAACATTAGTGCGCGCAGGCTCTGCCCCCCCCCCCCCCTCTGATCTTTCCCGCCCATTCTCAGCTTTATCGATTTTTTATACTTATTTCACCTACTGTACAAAATTTCCAGTATCAAACCACTGAAACCTGAAGTTACCGTACTTCATGGCTTTCAAATGGCTCCCCGACATTTGCGCCCCGACCATTTGCGCCCCGACACTTGCGCCCCGACACTTGCGCCCACGACACTTGCGCCCCGCAGTTTACTATGGAATCGGGGCGTAAGTGTCGGGGCGCAAGTGTCGCGGTCCGAACAGACAGGGCGCAAGTGTCGGGGCGCAAATGGTCGGGGCGCAAATGTCGTGGCACCTTTCAAATACCTATAAAAGAACCAATAGATCTCACATCATTCCGCCCAATCACTAACTTCATTAAACCACTTAGCACCGGTCTGCTTCCCGTTCACACTTCGCTAGTTGCGTCACAAGGTCCAGGTGTTCACAAGGCGTCTAGTGACGGATGAGGGATCGGCTCGTTCAATTTTAACAAAAATACGATGCTCCATCTATTCATGCCGGCTCCACGCTTTGTCTTGCGGGGACCCAAAACGGCTAGCACAAAATTCCGAGTATCCTACGTAACCGTACATTGTAACCCGGGCGGCGTCGTCGGTGGGCGAATTTTTGCCGCTTGGGCAACTTTTCGCAAAACATGTGTGCGGGGGGTTATGACGGAGTGAGTTTCATTTCATGGGGGCTGTCTGGGGGTATAAACTTGGTTTTTAGAAAGTGCAAATCACGATTATTAGGGTTTTAAAATTAAGTGGTAAAGGAAGTTTTGGTGGAGCTGGCAAGGTTATAGTTTCCGTCGAAAACAAGGTTTTAAAAAAGCAAAAAATCTTTAGGAGAGCTTTAAAATCATTGTTTGAGCGCTAATCCTATACTTCGTAAAATTTAAAACATCGCAATTTCAAGAGTGATGTCATACAAAAAAAAATCTTAAAAACTGCAAATAATCATTGGTGATTTTCTAAGCTTTTGAATAGCTCGTACTATAACCATTAAAATACATATTGAAACTCCACAAGTTCTTACCTTCCAGGTCAAAGTCTCAACCTTAAATTTCCAAAAGCTTTTCCGATGCTTTCATACAGACAAAAAAAATATCTGGCGCACTTTGCACGGCCGGAACGGATAGTCATAGCATTACACCTAGCTTTGTAGCTCTTCGCATCCCAAAAATTTTCTGATCAAAGTTCCACAGCAGACTGCAAAACCCAGATTAGTCCACTCGGCCCAACTACATCTCACCGGTGAAGGCCAGCTTTTGGAGAATTTCGGGCCTAGCACCTGCTGCCCTGCCCAAAATATCTGGCAACAAAAGCAGGGCGAACACTATAGGGTGCCAGGTTATTAGATCTTTCGTCTGGCCAAGTATGGGTCAAAAATAAATATTTTGGGTTGCAGGTGGCAATGTTTGGAGCCAGCCCCAGGTTGAAAGGGTAATTTCTAATTTCATCGGGGGCAGGTACAAGAACCGTGGAGTTGCGGACGTGGGCTTAAAAAAACACACAAAGAGTTTTTTCTAAGGGACACGTGAGCTTCTTAAAAAAGATTATAGAAGAATAAATTTTTGCCGGCAGAAGAGAGAGACGATATCCGGCTACCGTAACCAAGGCTCGAGGTCAAGCGCCGTGTGTTAGACTTTAATTTGCATACCTGTCCCCGAAAACGGAGCAAAATGAAGCTGAAAATACTTACCCCAGGTTCACTGGACAATGCCTTGCTAGAGCCACTTTTCGATTCAAAATCCCATTCTTGGCCGCCCACCGGAACTCGAGAAGCGACGGCTGCTGGACCGGTTAGAGCGCTCACCTAAAATTATTTTTGATAATCAAAATCCTAATTATAAAGGTTCTCTTAAATCTATTCTTTATCGCTAAATTCGAACGCCATTTTCTACAAAAATAGTGATATCAACAACTAACATTCGGCTGATCTATCTCTTCTCTTAACGCGTCATCATCGAACCATTCCAAACTCGCCACCGACATATTCGATGAAAATTGCCCAGCCTCCACTTTGCTCACCACTTGGCTTCGTATTCGCTCCCTGAAAAAGGCAGTTAAACCTTACATCCCGGTCCAAAGTCCGTCCACTTTTCCGGCTAACTATTAACTTTCATCTCAGCTCGTAATTCTACTGAGCCCACGTCGGGGTAGCACGAAATGTCATAGACCTACTCGAAGTACCCCTTTCACCCTTTTCAGCCCCAACTTAAGGCTCATTTTCTACCAGGAAATTGGGTCTGCGGGCGTAATGTTGCGGTAAGGGCGTCCCCGGAATGAAGAGCACGGAGTTTCGCGCTTTTGCCTCCAAAACACCCCTGCCTGACGCAATCTGACCCCCACACGAGAAGCTGCTGCTCAGGGATCAGAAAAAAAATCTGATTACACCGCAGCAAAAAAATGGTGTGTTGTGGTGCCCGAAGCAGAAAGGAAAGGTTGCGATCGGGGCAATGCAAGCGAAAAATAGCGTGTGGGTCTGCAGAAATTAACATAGGAAAAATAAACTGACAGCGCTACTGTAAAAAAATGCCACAATATAGAAAGCTAGCATATGTTTGTGCTCAGGGCAAGGTGAAATAAAAAAGCTGAACCAAATAGCGCCGCTCAGAAACTAAAATTAAAGAATGTGCAGCGCCGAAGTGGTTTTACCTGTCATTTTCGGGTTTGTCGGCATTCCGCAGATCCTCTTCGCTGGAGAAAATGTCGCCACCGATCGCCGAATCGAACAACGATTTGCCCATTTGGCTGAAAAGCGGCACATGCATTGTGGATGCGGCCCAAATAAAGGAGGTAGAGCTCCTTCAGATTTGGATCATTCGACAGAGCACTTTACTACATAAAATAGAGCTGCATGGGTTTTTCGTGCAAAATCAGCTTTTATGGACGATCCTCGAATAGTAAAAACTATTAAAATACCGGGAAAGACGAGAATCTACCCCTCACGATTGCTAGGTCTAGACGAAGACGCGAAATGTCGAATGATTTATAATCTTTGCTTTTCATCCTCTGGATAGTGAGGTTTTAGCAAACTCATGAGCAATTGCTAGCGTCATTTGGAGCGCTGCCTGTCTGTCGAGGCATAACCGAGATAAGGGGTCGATTTTCGGGCTTCCTGGTCCCTTTAACTTTCTGTCATTGTGGGTGGCTTCCTATACGAAAGCAAAGCATTGTCTACCCCAACAACGTTTACAAGCTAGCTAACAACACCAACAACTTTTTCTTTTATAAAATAAAAACTGTCCGTACCTTATCCCTTCAGTTGACCGTAACCCGCTGCTAAGTCCAGAATCTGTCATGGGATCGTGTGAAGATGTCGGCGTATCATCTGGCACCACGCAGTTTTTCGAGTCTGCCAGATTCCAAAGGCTAAGGAAACCAATTTTTGAGGGGAGGTAGATTAAATATACCCTTGTGTATTGGACTGTGGGAAGAGCTTTTTGAAATTCTTGGTGCTGAATTTGCTGCGCCCAGAGATTACGGAGCCGCATTCGGAGGAGTTGTCGAATTCACTGCTAAAAATGGCTTATGCAATTCATACATCATTTAGATTGTTTTTCACTGGTTTTATACTTACCCGAGCATGACTTGTTGGTACATATATTTGCTGTCCGTCATACACTTTTGAAGAACCTCATTTGACGGATCGATAGCACTCATTCTGAAAAAAACAACAAATGGTTATACAGATTCCTTAAAACTCACGCTTCCGAAGGGATTCTTCTTCTTGGTGTCTCCTGTTCCGCGTCGTTTTCCCGGAAATCCGCTTCAGCCCAATCATGTTGTGCATCGATTTGGTCTTCACGAGTTGTCATCGATAGCACCTAGAATGTAATTTGTATATATAGTACATTACACTCAATAAATTTATTATGATAGATCAAACAATTTTTTTGCTCCTATTTTCGGTATGTTGGCCGATCGAAAAATTAGAAGACTCTCGGACTTATGTGGGCAGAGCGGTACAAAACTCACATCATCAAAAACCGAGCATAAATCGCCGTAGCTCTCCGCATCAAGCGCCAACAGACGACTGTGAACCGGATGTCGAGGATGTCCCGCTTGTGAAGTTTGAGCATCTACAAAATAGTTCCCGCTAAAAGAATCAAATTACCATGCGCAAATTCATCATCCCATTGCTGCCCATTATCTTCCCACACTATTTGGAGTGATGCCGAGCATTCCGAGCCGATTGACGGCGAGTTATCGCTGAAATTCCGACTTTTCGGTAAATAAGCGGAACCGTACCGCTTGCTACGACTACTTCCTGCCACCGATGCTCCTTCTCTTCTCAGAACACCGCTGCGCGGGGTTCGAGCCTAGAAAAGGTTTTTGGTAATTAAACAAAAACCAGGGTTGAAAAGCCGCTTCGCGACTTTTCAACCCTGGCCCCGTCTGGGCCCAATGAGATTATAAACTTTGCATAATCCCGCCTCAATCAACTGAGAAAAATGAAAACTCTCGTGCCAGCCCTTTATATAGGCTTTTTCTACTTCCTGCATATGCTAATTCGTTCCTAACAAAGAGGTTGGTCGAAAACTTAACAAAAACCCTAATTTTAATGTCGAAAATAGCTTATTTTTATGATTCTAATAGGTGTGCAGTCATCTCAGGGCCATTACGCACCTAACGACGTATCGTACACGCCCTAAAACCCCGTCCTTATTGAGTTATCCTCCGGACATACTGACGGAAGTGTATGCAAAGTGTCACACACACACACATACACTATTTTTTTATATATAGTAGGATACTGACCTGCAGCCCTAGCAGCCCGTTGGCTCGGACCGATCTTCGGACTCGTTGCAATCGGTTGAGTGACATCTGGAATAATTGGATATGTAAAGCTAATAAGTTTTTATATAAGCTACTCGGATTTTGGGTGGATGCAAATCATTTCCTAACAATAAGAGTGAGATTTTCGCTATTTTGGCAAAAATTTAAATTAGACTTTGAGGAGAACGGACTTTATAAAATCTGCTATATGCGCAGCCATCTAGGGAGTTTGATCTATTAACTTATAAGATTAATAGTGACAGAAAATTCATAATAATGATCCACTGGGAATTTTTACAAACCTCGCTGGCCGGTCGACTGACACTAACTCGTGATAGCCATTCGCTCTCACTGTTCTTGTCGCCCTCGTCATCGCTATCGAGCTCCTCGACTTCTACCTAAAATTTTGCTTTATTTCAAATTTTTTTGGTTGTTGTCCCCCATTCAATTTCAACCTTTCTATTGTTTTTCTGAAAGCAAGGGCCTGGCCGATATTGTGTTGTAACCAGAAATCCATCACAGGGCGACTGTTGCAAAAACAAAACCACATGTGGCATGGGATCGGAAATTTCTGCTGCTTGCTTCAGCTGTTTTAAGCATGTGTCTCGACTCCGAATTTTTTTGCAAAAACTGTTTGTTTGTTCTTCTGCAAAAAAAGCCAGAAAATCAAGTAAGGGAAATGACAAACAATCAAAATTTATAAAAAGCTTACATGAGATGGATGTAGATGGCGCAGATCGGCGGTCGGTACCTGATCGAACCGACCCGAGTCCATTAACATCCAGACGAACCGGCGTCCCAGATATCTTAAAAATCATGTTGATTTTGATCAAAGAATCATTACTTCTTGAACTTGACGGGTAAAAAGGAAAAAAACACTTACCTCGTACATATTCGATATGCGCAGTACGAGCCGACACCTGCGACAAGTAGCACTCCGGAGGCGCGTGCTAAAAATATTGCTTATGTTTGGCCACGATTGTTTCAGATTTTAGATTTTCATGCTAATTTTTACCCAGCCAGGGTGGCGCTCGAATTCGTATGACCGTGACCCGTTGACATTCGAGGCTCATGAATATATCCTCCATTTTCTCATCTAGCAATTTTCAAAAAGTCGTTTAACTATGAGAAAAGGGAAGAAAACGATCAATGGAATGAAAGTTTATATACGTAAAGGAAGTAAGAAGGCATGTGGAATATCGGAGGTACGATGGGCAACGCCCTAGAAAGCTTGACCGGAAAATATGAAAAACCTCTTTGAGCACGAGCTAAAAACAACTGAAGCTTACGCGTAGGAAGCTTTCATGGCATCCCAAATTCACAAATCACTTGACAAACCCTCACCTTTAACTGCATAACTTTGAGTAGAGAATGGACTAGCCGTCAGAATAGAAAATAGTACGTCTTGCTCCTTTAGACATAATTCCAGCTGAGCCATCCCATTTGTATCGACCGGGAGTATCGTGTTTTTGGTCAACAGCAGCTAGCGATTGTGGTAGACTAGATCGAATAGAACAATCGGAGGGTGTCACTGGGGCCAACGGGAGAAAGAGACAAATATTTCAAACGGTAAGAGAGAAGCAGTTGTCTCGAAGATAGGCCACCACTCACAAAGAGGGCCCAACAGCAAGGACAGCTGATTTAGCCTCTGACACAACTCATCGTCTCAACTCCACACCCCCAAAGCTCAATAATTTCTACAAGTATTTTTTCTTTCTGAAAAAAGACAATAAGTAACTAATTAAATCAAATTATATCTTAAATTTAAACAATTATCTTAAAAAATTCATTTTAATTTATTTATTTAAAATAATTATTTAAATCTTACTATATAAAAAAGTTGGTTGTTGGTTTTCCTTCTGAATTTTCATAAACTTTCCGTCGCCTTTTCCGACACTAATTCGATGAGGGAATGGTTAAGGTCTATTTTCAAGGTCCAAAAAAATTAACGTCGAAAAGAGCGGATTTCAATAAATCCTAGAAGAAGATATTTCAAAACAGAACTGTACAGTCACACCTAATGACGCATTGACTATACCTTAACTTATGACTGAAAATTACTGACGGAAGTGGAAAACAAAGTGACGTAGACACAAACACTATTTTTTCGAGATACAGGAGTGCGCTATCTTCGTTTTTTTTAAAAACACCGTAAAGATAAACAAATCCTAAACCTAATAAAATGTTCCCAAAAATCCCAGCAATTAGGGACTGCTTCTACCCAGGGTGCAAACAGGCGCGCGGGCACCAAATTTTACAATTTGTAATCGATCTTTTGGGTCCTAACTAGAGGGGGATCGGGTTGACAGGATGAGTCGCGGAGAAGGCGCGGTGCGGGAAAAGCTCATTTGACAGAGAGGTGTCACATACGGCCGGCCACAGCGAACGCTGTTATCTGCCCAAAATTTCCGCCTATCCGCCGGCCGTTTATTGGCTCATTGCGTAGGTGTGTGGGCCAGAGTTGGCGTTAAAAAGTGAGGTTTATGCAAGGAAAATCGTAAATTTTGGAATTCCGCCCGAATCGGACGGATTTAAAGGGACGAGCAAGGCATGGCTACAGATTTTTGGTTCTAGATTCGGGTTGAATTCTGCTAGGCCTGCGTGTCAGCCTTTCAATATCGTAATCAATATCGTTTCAATATCGTAACATAGGACGCATGCATTAAGGACCAAGTGTTGTACGAAATATTATAAGTAACGAATCCATTCCCAAAATTCATAGCCATGCCTTGCCCGTCCCTTTAATTTAAATCAGAATTATTGAGGGGAAAATGAAAAAGTATTTTTAGCATCAAAAAAAGATTAAATAATCAAAAACGGTTTAGATAAAATTTAGGAATAGCGGAATAAAAATAGCAAAATATAGCTTAAATAAACAGCAGAATAGCCAGAATATCAGTCTGGAAATATTTTGCAGCATCCCAACGCTTAGTGACCAGCATAACCTTGGCTAGCCAGAACAAGCGCACACTCGGGGGGTGGAGGTGCAGGAATAAGAAAAGGAGAAAGAGACAGGCAACTTCGTAGAGAATTTCGCGCACTTTGCCAATTGATCGCGAGAGTCGCCTTCCTCCCCTTCCTTTCGGGCGATCGGCTCGGCAAAAAGCCAGCCAAAAGTCGTAAATGCGCCGGTGAGTGCGCTTGGGGCGGCCACATGGAAAAGCTAAGGATGAGAGTTGAGAGTTGAGAGGGTCAGTCAGAGAGAAAGAGAGTAAGGATTGGAGAAAAAAGTCAACAGTTCATAGTTAACGCGCTTTGCAGTGGCAATTCTGTAGGGTCGTTGAGTTATGCTTAAAGATCACAAGAACTCGATTATAGGGATCATGAATGTTGCGCAAAGAATTTTCAGCTGTTTTGCAGAGCGAGAGACAGAGAGAGTGAGAGAGAGAGAGAGAAGAAAATACGTATTCAGCCAGTTTGCTATTGTAAAACAAGTAGTGTTAACAGGCTAGCATTCGAAGACAACGAACCTCGATCAAATGGAGGGTACCTTAAAATAGAAAGAAAATAGAAAAGCCGGGATCGAGAACGCCACTCGCCCGGCGCTCTTTTTTGCTTGCTTAATCTCGACAAATCAAACAAAACCTCTCGCCATGGAAATTCTACGTCAAAGCCTGCAGAATTCGAACACGAAAATTGAGGTTTTTGAGAAGATGATGAAGGGTTAGCTCCAAGAAAATATAGCCAGAAAAGGTCGCTAAAAGCTCTGAGGAGAATCGTTAGCCCTCAGTTCCTCAACCGCCAGACGTTCCAGAAAAAGCTGACGTGCCAGCTGGAAAATCGACAAGCCCTTGGGTCAAGTTACCAAAAGAAGAGGCAGGGTTTTTAAGGGACAGTAGTCCTCAGGAACGTTTAGTGGGCCAAATCATGTATTTTCGAAATGCACGTCCAATGAAAGGATCGGTGACTGGTCAGAAAATTCGCGAGGAAATTTCGCGCGTAAAGAGGCCGGCGGCGTCTAGCAGGTAGCAGTGGGCAGTGGGTGATGGGTAAATATTGGTAGAATTGTGAGGGAACTGTGTGTCGGTGTATTTGTGTGGCCTTGCAGACCTTCCCCCCCCCGCTTCGGGTCGAAATGTTTGAGCCATCCCCCGAGGATAATCCGCATAATTGACCCCGAAAGCGCACGCGCCCTTTGTAGATCTGTTTCGCTCGCTTGCTGCCTCTCCCCATTTGCAACAAAATTTCGGGTATCAATGACCAATACGGATAGAACGGGTGTATTTTTCGCGTTAGAAAATTGTACAGTGCGTTTAAAGGGGCGCGCAAGGCATTTCGTAGTCTCTAGATTTCGTCCTTAATTCGAAAATTACCGAAATTTCGCAGTGACATGGGCCTGTGGTACGCCCGGGTTTCCATTGCATAATCGATTACGGCAGGTTAAGGCAGACAAACGAATCCCAGCCAATACCCGGACAGCGAAAATCCCGACAGCCAAGACACCGACAACCAAAATGTGACATGTCAGGTCGTTTTCTCTAGAAATGGTTTTAACGTCTAAGGTTTCTCGTGGTCGGCATTCAGCTGTCGGTATTTTGGCTGTCGAGATTTTGGCTGTCGGGATTATGGCTGTCGGGATTTTGGGTGTGGGGATTTTGGCATTTTCCTGGACAAACAAACAGGTTTGCTAATGACGATAGGTGAAAGGGTGAGCGTGGCATATAAAACATATACATAACTTTCCCGCCCCTTTAAGACCCTCAATGTATTTCTTGAATTTTTAATAAACCCCCGATGATTTCCAGCTCTCGTACTTTTGAAGTCTCCCCTGACACTATCTGACGAAAAAGACGGACGTTACATGTCCTCCTCCTCCTCTACCCCTTTCGTAGAGGGCCCTTTAGATGCAGAGGGTGGCCCACAAATATGCCCCGGGGACCGGCTGAAGGAAGAAGGAAAAGGGGGTAAGATGGACAACAAGTGTCTCTTTGCCTTTAACCCTAGATGAAGGGCCACCCTCCTCCCATCGTTTTCCCCCTCGGCTTCCGGCTAAAAAACCCTTACCCATTGCTTATGTATAGACCGGGTTTGGAAATAAGATACATCAATTATAAACGGGCAGAAACACGGAATAAGGAAAAGTTTAGGTTCTGATCTCTCTTAGTTAGAGGGCTAGCCAATTGTGAGCAAAAGAAACGTAGAAAAATGGTGCCCAGAAAAAGGCCCAACGCGCTGTTGGGCTGGCAATAATGCCCCTAAATAGGGGTGCCCTTCCCTGGCCGGGGTAGCATCGATTTCGCCTCTAATTCCCGAAATTTGGAGGGAACCCGGGGTGGAAAAACGAGAAACTACTAGTTGCGGGTTTTTCTAGGATTTCATTATTTTCAGAGATTCAAAAATTAAGTATATTTCTGCGTGCGTGAATCGGAAAAAAATCCACAATGCACTAACTCGTCCCGACGACCGATATTCCATTTTAAAAAAATGTTATTTCCATATTAAAATTAGGTTTTTTGTAGCATAGAAATGACATTTTGGAAGTTGAAATGGGTGAATGATCATAACCGAAGCACCGAAGCGGATAACTAAGAAGAATTCAGTTCCCGATCGAACGATACCGAACGAGAAAATCAGAGAATTAGGGTACATTATTCGGATTTCAAAAATCTATGGAAAGCTGGTTGAAAATAGCGATTTTTCAAAACTTGTGATTTTAAATTGATATACCAAATTCCTGTTTCCTAAAATTTTTAATAATCATTTCCTCAAGTACAATCTCGTTTTCCCTAATGCCAACGCCAAGCCGGAAACTCGCCAACTTCTCCCCCAAAAAAAAAAAAAAAAAGAGGGACCAGCGTCCAGTCCAGCTGATTGTCGGCTATACGAGGATAAAACGACAGAGCCAGGAGAGACGGAAAGAGAGAAAAGAAAGTCTACTGGAATCTGATGGCGTTCGTCGTGGCCGTTCTACACAAAAAGTAGACAGCGGCAGAGAGGCTTAGGGAAATGTTTTTAGCAGCCCCCCTCGCTGCTCCTTATCGACCCCCAAATTGCCAGACTGCCAGGCCCAGCATCAGGCCGGGGCCCGATAATGCCATCGCATGCATTTCGTGTACGCTGGAGTGCAATTAGAAATAAAAAAAGGACT